GTTTCCTAAGAAACCAAATGCTTGAATAGAGCACACAAGATGATCTTTTTTATTTGCAGATCTGAAGTGATTTAGTGCTGAAGTTATGAAGGACTAGTAAAACATGGTTTTGTTCATAAGAGGCAATAGGTGATTCCAGTTCTGCTACTGTTTATAACAATTGATCGGCATGATTGGGTTACTTGTGTCACAGTGCGTATTGCATAAATTTAGTCTTTCTCAGTAAGATACAAATCCTTGCTATGGATGCTTGTTCTTTATCGCCAACTTTTTCATTTCCTTTTAAATATCTGTTATTCTAACTGGATAGGTTCAAATAAAATGAAAATAATGATGGGAAGTAAGCTAGATAAAAATAATTTCCAGGTCATATTGTGTAATTCCACAAATGCGATCTGTGGAATCCTAGATTAAGCTTCATGATGTCATTAATCTGATAAATTGATCTTTTTCTTTTTTGGCAGTCATCCACATTAAGTGGGATCACATGGTATAACTTGTCTTCAGTGGAAATTGGRCTCATTGTGAGTTAATATCTCATTGTCGCWTATAATTGCTTGACATTCACATAATGAACATGCATTAGTATGGTTCAATTCCTTTCTGAATATATATTTGTTTTCCTGTTTTTGTTGTTGCTTTTTTTGCATTATGAAATTGTTTATAGGTCAGTGGTTCGTTGTATGGGGCCTTGATTGGTTCTGTTTTGGCTTTTACTGTTGCTGACTTTCTAGGTTTGCATTCTCAACTTTTGGAGCATAGGRTTATATTTCATGTTATTGTAAATTTTACTTGCTAAAATTTGAGAGTGGATATTTTCAATTGAAGGAAGACGAAGGGAGTTGATGCTGTCCGCTCTCCTCTATCTTGTTGGAGCTCTAGTGACAGCACTAGCACCTGACTTCCCTGTTATGGTGATTGGACGCTTCATATTTGGTATAGGAATTGGGCTGGTAATTTATTTTGTGCTGTTTTTTCTTCAACAGAATATCATTTATATTTAATTTCTCTCCATTTCCTTATACATAAACAGTTCTTCCTTTCTCCACCAACCCTTCCTTGTGCAATGTCAAATGGAAACATGGACAGAAGAATATACACAAGTCACAATGCATGTATATGAGATGTAGTGTGAAGGTTTACAGTTTGCTATAATGCTGGAAGATGATGTAAAACTGTTAATAATTACATTTCCTAGAGGAAAACCAAGAGTCAATGTATTATGTATTTATTTAGTGAGTGTTTGCCAAATGCTAATATGTATGATTTTGTTTTTCAAAGCAAAAATAACTGCCACATTAGTAAAAGCAATATGATTTTTCTTATCAGATTTACTCAAAGAGTCTAAACAACCCACAAACCTTCTATGTGGAAATTTAGTTGGGAGCTCAACAGGGCCTCTAGACACTCTATGGGGAGAATTTCAGCTTAAAATGCTTTCCCATGTAGCCAAAATAAACCTTTTCTTAGTGCTATAGGCCTAAGAAAGGGAGCTAAATAGCCAAGGACCTTGGTGCTAATAGGCACACTATGAGAGAAGTGGATAGGAAAAACAGAAAATGATATGCCAGATGTTCTAGCAAGAGAAGGGGCAACAGGGATCAAATGTAATGGGGTCCACCCATTGGAAGCAAGAGAATTTTTTGTTATAAATATAAGGAGGTTTGTGTAGGGAAGAGAGATTGGCTTCCTAATGTAACTTTGGGGTGTTGGCACAATCTATCTTGTAGCCTTCTATTATCTTTTCTGACAATAAGATTATTCCAGTTATGCATAAAAAATCTTCCATAGGAGTATGTTCTAAATTAAAATATTTCAAAGTTGAATGGCTTGTTTAAGATGGGAAGAATTCTAGTACAAGGTAGACTATAAGGCTGATGTGGAGTTCGGGGAGGAGGTGTTGATACAGAGGATCCCTAATCCAGTGATAGGTCTGGATTACATGCATGATTCTTCCACATGGGAGATCATATAGCAAACTTCCCTAATGGCCAGATTAAGAAAAACATACATGTGTTTCTGTGTATTCTAAACCAGTGTTATGGAGTTGTGTTTCCAAAAGGAGGGGAAAAGAAGGCTAAAGAGGGGAGATATGATGCACCTTCTGATAGGGTGTGGAGGGTCTTAGTGAAAAATGGTACATCGTTTCCATTATTCTTATTCCCCCCCCCCCCAAAAAAAAAAAAAAAAGCAAAGAGGAAACTCTAATACCCAACATTATACTAATTCACAATCTGGTCATGCATGTATAAAATTTTAACTCTTTCTTCTTCCACTTTCTTTTTCCCTATAAAATTTTAAAGATANAAAAACATACATGTGTTTCTGTGTATTCTAAACCAGTGTTATGGAGTTGTGTTTCCAAAAGGAGGGGAAAAGAAGGCTAAAGAGGGGAGATATGACACACCTTCTGATAGGTTGTGGAGGGTCTCAGTGAAAAATGGTACATCGTTTCCATTATTCAAAAAAAAAAAAAACAGAACAAACAAATGAAAAGACATGGAGGGAACTCTAATATCCAACATTATACTAATTCACAATCTGGTCATGCATGTATAAAATTTTAACTCTTTCTTCTTCCACTTTCTTTTTCCCTATAAAATTTTAAAGATATGTAATTTATGGATTTAACTCTTTTAGGCGATGCATGCTGCCCCGATGTACATTGCTGAGACTGCTCCAACTCAAATACGAGGCCGGCTCATTTCTCTTAAAGAGTTCTTTATAGTTCTAGGAATGCTTGTAAGTGCTCAAGTTTATACTTTGGTTATATTTTGAGGGAAGTATTGAGTCAGCTATGCACGACATCATATAATGGATCCAAAAGAACAAATGTCTCATACTTCATGTGTTTGTTACTGTGTGTTTCATGTGGTAGCCCTCATCTAATTCTCATGATATCAAGTGATATTGTACCATGTTGGGCTAGATACTATATTAACCTGTTTTTATAGTTACTGTCAATCTTTCAAATACTGACTGCCTAGACTTCTCCTGCAGTTAGGTTATACGGTTGGCTGTCTTGAAATTGACCTAGTTGGGGGATGGCGCTATATGTATGGAACTAGTGTCCCTTTATCAGTGATTATGGGGATTGGAGTGTGGTGGTTACCACCATCACCTCGATGGCTCCTTTTATGTGCCATCCAGGGGAAAGGAAACATGCAGGATTTAAAAGAAAGAGCAATATCTTGCTTGTGCCGGCTGAGGGGGCAAGCTATTGGCAATTCAGCCCCAGAGCAAGTAGATGAAATTCTGGTTGAGCTTTCTTACAATGATCAGGAAAAAGAGTCTTCACTAATGGAGATTTTCCAAGGGAAATGCTTGAAAGCCCTTATTATTGGTGCAGGTTTGGTCTTGTTTCAGCAGGTATCGTCATTTTGCAAGGTTCTATAAGTGTAGCATAGTTAAGTATCCACTGGTATTTCTCTTATTACTAACTTGATGGTTGGCAGATCACAGGGCAACCAAGTGTGCTGTACTATGCTGCAACAATTCTTAAGGTGCACTTTTTGACTTTGGTTTATAARTTGAACATTAGTAGTGACTACATATCATAGCCTAGTAGGTGTGTACTTTTATTCTTATCCAACTTGGTTTAACAGAGTGCAGGGTTTTCTGCAGCATCTGATGCTACACGGGTCTCAATTCTTCTTGGTTTGTTAAAGGTAAGGTCAAAGAGGTTACTCTTACACATGATTCTTTCCTCATTAGTTTATGATTTTTTTAATCCCTTATGTTGAATATGCAAGTGCTAGAGTTTTATAGAGTTTATCTGCTGATTTCTTTGGGTTGAAGTTGACTTCTTCACAGACAAAAGCTCAAACAAGTCTTAAAAGTTGGTTTGGTGGAWATTCTTGGTACTTAAAGGAGGAGCATATTGCACATTCCTTGTGAAAACATTGTAGAGATTATGGAATACTTGGAATGTTTCCTAATATTCAAAAAGATTCATTTATCATTGTAAAATTTAAAAAGGATAAAGGCCATTTGAATTATTACATCATTGAAAAATTCCATATAAATATAATGCTACAAGCACCAGTTAGATGTGTAAAAGGATTCTCTATGATGCTATAGGTGTTGGGTTTTGTTTTAGCTTGTTGTTTTTACTTTCTATGGAAGCTAACTTTGAAATATCAATGTTCTTTTTTAGGATACAAGGCTTTTCTTTCCTACTTTTTTATGAACTTAAGGAATCATGCTGGGTCCATAGTTAATTGTATAAATTCAAAGTTGTTGTAGAAGGAAAGAAACCAGAAAAGACAGTATTATTAGAACTTGAAAGGACAGATTAGTGAAAATGTAGTTATTCTTTCTTTTCATGAAAAGCTGTTTTGACTTTGCTTTTACTTGGTCTTTGTTCTTTTACTCCTTGTGGCAATAAAATTAGATCAGTTCATTAAGAAAAAAGAGGCCATTGGACCTTTTCTAGAGATACATTATATTTTATGTCAATTTCTACATTTATATGCCAGTCTAACATTGACCACTTAGAATTTTAATAATAAACCTATTTTTTCAACATTGATGAATATGCCAACCATATGAATTTCCTAAACTAAGAGTTATGTATGAATACCTAGTTCAAAAGTTTATTGGACAGTCAAAAATTTCCTTGTATACTCTAAGCTATATACCTGTTATCCTACAAAGTTGGCTAGGTACTATTTTTCTAATGGAATGCATAAATTCCTTTCATCAAATACTAAAATAGAAGAAAACATGGCTTTGCAGGGTTCGCATTTAACAAATTTAATAATATCAGTACCAGAGAAAATGCTTTGAAAAATTTCAAATTGATTTGTTGTATGAATCTATTTGTCCTTCCATCTAACAAGTCATGCAAAATCCTCCTGAATGGTATATGCAAAACATCATCTAGAGACATGAAGTAGTAGTTTTTTTCTTATGTGTTTACAAGATTCAAAGGCTTTCCTTAATTCATCTTGCTATTTTTTCTTTTTTTAATACATTAAGTTTTGTATCTTCTCAAGGTGAAAAAAGATGGGACTTGATGTTTTATTTGCATTCCAAAGGTCTGACTTATTTTTTCCTTTTTTAGTTGATTATGACTGGAATAGCTGTTCTTGTTGTTGATAAACTTGGCAGAAGACCTCTACTACTTGGGGGCGTCAGTGGCATTGTAAGTTCCTATTTACTTGCAAGGGGATCTCATATTCTGTTTTAAAGCATTAAACCTTTAAAGATGTTTTGGAAAAATGTTATTCAGTATTGACATATTTAAGTTGTGGCATTAAACCTTTTCTTCCAAATACTCCAGAAAAGCTTCTTATGGACATATCTACATTATCTTCCACCTCCTAAGAAGTGATAGAGAAGAAAGTAGTCTTAAACAAGTCTGGGATATCAGAATGGGGGGGGGGTCTAGTGATTGACAAAGAATGGCTAAAGTGATTCTTAATCTTGATATGGAGAATAATTTACCAATCTGGAAAGTGGAGAATAATTTGAATTCTGAAACTGAAAAAGAGCTTTGTTGAGTCTCACTAAGGAAATCGATTCAGCAGAAGGGGTAGGTCCTTTATCTGAGGAAAGCAGAATGAAGAGATCTCAAGCAAAAATCAAGTATGATAAATTGGCAGTAAAAGAAGAAATCAAGTGGAGACAAAGAGCTAAAGTGGCCTGATTAAAATAGGGGGATAAAAACACTCTCTTTTTTCATAGAATGGCCAACGCCAGAGCAAGAGTTTCTTCAATCAGTAAGCTGGAGTGGGAAGGTAGATTGGGGGAATCTGATGCAAATATGAAGGTAGTGGCAACTAACTTTTATAAAAACCTTTATAAAGAGATTTGGTCCTTCAGACCCTTTCCTAGAGACCTTCCTTTTAAACAGTTGAGTGAAGATCAGATTTCTTTTATTGAGAGACCCTTTACGGAGGAGGAAATTAAAGCTGCCATTACTATGTTGGTGGCTGATAAGTCGCCAGGGCCGGATGGTCTTACCAACCTCTTTTATGTCAAATGCTGGGATTTTGTGAAGCAAGATATTTTGAATGTATTTCAGGCGTTCTATGGTAATGCTTCCCTTCAAAGAAGTTTAAATACTACCTTTATCACCCTCATTCCAAAAATTGAAGGGGTGGTTAATGTTAAAGATTTCAAGCCAATCAGTCTCTTGCACAGTTTTTATAAGATCTTTTCTTAAGTGTTAGCCGAGAGAATGAAAGGGGTGTTAGGGAATGCTATTTCATACAATCAAAGTGCTTTTGTTTCGGGGAGGCAGATGCTTGATTCTGTTCTTATTGCTAATGAGCTGATTCACTTAAGAAGAAGAGAGGGTACCCCTGGTTTGATTTGCAAACTGGACATTGAGAAAGCCTATGACCATGTCAATTGGAGGTGTATTGATTTGGTGTTGCAGCATATGAAGTTTGGGCAGAAATGGGGAAACTGGATAAAAGTTTGTGTATCCACACCCAAATTCTCAGTTTTGATTAATGGTCAGTCAGTGGGGTTTTTTGACAGTTCTAGGGGTCTAAGACAAGGTGACCCCTTATCCCCCTTGCTCTTTATTTTTGTTATGGAAATTCTCACTTTGTTTTGTAAAAAGGCTGTTGAATCTAGTGATTGGGAAAGCTTTGCATTCTCTCCTGAAGGGGAAAAGATCAATATTCTCCAATTTGCAGATAATACTTTATGCTTTGTGGATGCCTCTCCTTCCCAGTTAGATATTGYCCTTGGAAATTAACCTGGTTTGAGGTGATCTTTGGGCTGAAAGTCAACTGGAACAAATATTTGGGGCTGCCTTTGGGAACAAATATTTGAGGTGATCTCCAACATAGTTGATTGTGCGGAGGTTCTGGCTTGTCAGACTGAATTACTCTTGGTGAAATATTTGGGGCTGCCCTTGGGGGCAAATTGTCTTACCTCCTCGATTTGGGATCCAGTTATTGAAAGAATGGAAAGGAAATTGGCTTCCTGGAAGGCAAGATATCTCTCATTTGGGGGTAGGGTTATTCTGATAAATAACACACTTTCCAATTTACCTACTTACTTCCTTTCTCTCTTCCCCATCCCTAACAAAGTTGCTAAAAGATTGGAGCAGATTCAGAGATGCTTCCTTTGGAGGGGTTGGGATGAGGAGAAAAAAGTTCACCTTGTAAGTTGGGACCAAGTATGTCTTCCCAAGGCCGAAGGTGGCTTAGGCATTAGGAAGTTGAAGAGTTTTAATTCTGCCCTCCTTAGCAAGTGGATTTGGAGGTTCTCGGATGAAAGAGAGGCCTGGTGGAGATCCCTCATAGCTAATAAATATGGGGTGGAGTGGGGCAACTGGAGATCTAGGGATCCTCCCCTAAGTTGGGGTAGTTCCCCTTGGAAAGCTATCATGAAAAATTTCTCTGTTTTCATGGAAGGGATTTCAGTCAAGATTGGTAAAGGGGATAGAACAAAATTTTGGAAGGATCCTTGATGTTTGGATGGGACTCTAGCTGAGTCTTTTCCTCTACTTTTTCAGTGTGCTTCTAACCAAGAAGCTTTTGTGGCTGAGTACTGCTGTTCGACTGGTGGGTCTCTTACTTGGACTCCCATCTTTAGGAGGAATCTATTTGATTGGGAGTTAAAAGAGATTGTGGATCTGATGGCTTTTCTTCAGAAGCAGAAGATTGATCTGCAGTTGGAAGACTAATGGTGTTGGAAATGGAATTTGGATGGTGAATTTACTGTCAAATCCCTTGCCTCTAAGCTTTGTTGTTTGGGTCTCACTGACTTTCCTGCTTCACAGATCTGGAATTCTATAAGTCCATCAAAAGCCAACTTTCTGATTTGGACGATGGCCCTTGACAAATGTCTTTCCAGAGTTAATCTGGTGAGGCGGGGCATCCATGTTATGGATCTTTCCTGTAGTCTTTGTGGGCACCAAGCTGAATCGACAGATCATTTGTGTATTCATTGTCCATTTTCCTCTTAGATTTGGGGACACTTTCTCAAAACCTTGGATTTCAGTTGGGTAATTCCTAGATTGGTTAAGGAGCTTCTCTGTTGTTGGAATGTTAAAGGCCTAAACAAGAAAGGGAGCCTGGTGTGGAGGACTATTCCTGCTGCTGTCTTATGGTCCATTTGGGCTGAGAGGAATAGTAGAATTTTCTGTAGTAAAGCTAAAAGTCCTGAAGATATCATTCAGAGAGCTGTGGGCGCTGATATCTTGGGTGTCTGTTTCTGAGGAATTCAARAGTCTGAAGTTGTCTTCTTTCCCTTGCTCTAATTCCTGGTGGAGAATGTAACTGCTGTGGTTCTCAGGCTGCCCTTCTGGGTCTGAATCCAGCTTGTATGTGCTTTTGTTTTGAATAAAATTACCTTACTTTTTCCCAAAAAAAATAGCAAACACACTAGAGATGAGATTGATTAAAGTGTTTAACATTAGCCTTGCATAAGATGCATATGCATAGATAACCTCCAAATCATTGTAGCACCTCAAAGGTATTAATCTTCATGTGGTAGGCCTCTCAAAGAAAGGAAGACTTCACCACCATCGATCTTCTTTTTATAATAGTTGAAAACAGCCCTTTGAAGTATGGGACTATGTAAGATTAGATGAAAACCAGAAAACCAAACAAATGAGAAGATTGGAGAAGATAAGAGAGAGAGAGAGAGAACTGGCGACAAGGAGTGTTAGAGGATGAGAGTTTTCGAACTAACTCTCCCTCTAACACTCTAATACAATTTTATTAAGTTAATTCTTGAATAATTACAAGAGAGGTCCTTGGTTGGGCAAGAAATTACAAAAATACAGCATAGAAGAGTATGGGCCCAGAATAAGGCCCATTATAGAGAAGAACATAAATATAACATAGAATAACAGCCTATGGGCCATTCGGCCCATCTTCTCTACACTCCCCCTCAAGCTGAGCATAGATGTTAATCATGCCCAGCTTGCCAGTGTCATGCAGAAGCCTTGCCTTGGGAATGCCCTTGGTGAGAAAATCTGCCAATTGTCCTTCAGAAGTGATGAAT